AGACTATAAATTTAAAAGGTCGCCCACAGGTTTGCAATCCAAACAACATTCACATTAATACACGCGGCACATTCCGTTTTATTTTTGCAAATCTTGCGGGGAGCGCGGAGCAGGCGACTGCTTTGCCTAACTCTCTTGGGTGGCGCCTGCACTGCAGAGGGGCGTAGTGTATCCGCGTGACAGGGACGAGCGGCCGACAGTGAGGAGCAGCAGGCCTGGGGATCGCGTGCACCGCTCGGCACCGCTCGGCTCTGCTCGGCTTGGCCGAAGGTCGTAGTAGTAGGGCATAAAACGTCATCCCAACGACGCGGCGCTAAATTTACCCACGCGCCCTCCCGGCGCTCCCTACCCCTTCTCAACAGAATCACGACTACTTTTGCGCGCGGCTGGGTGTAAGTGCAGGGCCCAGTTAGTGCCGACACAATATGAGGGGTAGCGCGAAATAAACGCGACGAGGTTCTGGATACTTTTGCTTTTAATAGAGTTAAGATTAACGAAACGTGACCAGCCAATACAACAGCGCTGAACACACATTGGCCATACTTATTAGTGACAATTTCTATACCATTAAGACACCGCTAGATTGTGTTTTGGGGGCTGTGTCGGGCTGTGTTCTGTCGTCTTACCTGTTCTGAGAACTCGTTCAGGTCCCGGAGACTGATGTTGTAGACGATGTTCCTGCAAACAAAAAGAAGTATAGTGTGAAAACAGGATGGTAATTCAATAACTAATCGGAATAAAAGACGGATAGCCCCGCGGAACAAGGGTTTCAAAAACGGGGATAAGAAAGTCACGAGTGAAAAGACCTCTTCCGTGAAACGACATGCAGCCCAGAGGAGCAGTAAATGTTCCTCGTTGAGAGGTTTACGCCCGGTGTACAACACGCTAATCCAGAACACATGGGCGCACAGCATAAAAAATTAATTCCCTCCGGTTCGGCCGCGCGGCTGACAACAGGAGGAGGGAGGGCGAAGGGGGAGAGAAAGGGAGAGGGGAGGTTGATGTCGCATGAGCCGAAAGGTGGTCAGCAGAGTGGGTGCACCCCCTGGGTCACCCTTGTGGTCACCCTAGCAGGCGAGCTTGCCAGAATGCTCTACCCCCTCCTTCCCTCCCCACCAATCCTCCACGACCTTAAGTCTTGGCCTCACACTGCTGTTTGCGTGTCTGGAACGACGGAAAAGCAAGGGGGGGGGGGGAAGTAACGGGGATGGGTAGTCTTCCAGATTTTCAGAGCCTCTCACCCCCTCCCCCTTTTCCGTCCCATCCCCCTCGTCGTATCTTACTGACCCACTGACCGCAGCACGTTTGGTTTTATGAGCTCTCGCCTGCTTTAGTGTATTCCGCCCTGTGGCCACAGTGTGGGCGTCGGCCACGCGAGCTAAGTGCAAGCCTGCCGGATAGAGTGCAGAAACCGCGTCATTTTTTAAGTTTTGATTTTTGTTTGTCAGGGGAGGAATGCGTTTGAGTTTAATTCTATAAGTAGACCCCAAAATAATTATGGCCAAACGAGTTATGCCAAATTTTGATAATGGCTAAATGAAATGGACCATCACATCGAGCAATGCGATCTACAATTTAATGCAAGAAAAACAATAAACCAAACCAAACGTAACGAACATCTTAGTTAGTGGTGGTGGCACTTCACCCCTTCACCCTCTCCCCAAAGAAAAGACCCGCCTTTACTAGAATTCCTACAACTCTCCTCGCTCTTTTTGCATTGCTTTTGAAAACTGTCCGAGTGACGCCGAAAGAAGAAGAAAGAACAAAGAACTAAGAGACAAATACGTCTGGCCCAACTTGGATGAGTCCAGCACTTTGCTGAGCAGCGAGTTGCAGCCCCGAGAGGTGCAGACACCTGCCCGACCCACCAGCTGCAGCAGCCAGCAGCCCCGCAGCTGCAGAGAGACGCTCATGTTTGAAAGCGACGCCCCTATCCTTTAAAAGAGGAGAGTAAAAAGTGAGGTAAGGAAACAGAGAAAAACTCAAAAGCGGGAAGAGAGACGGAGAGGGAAAGGAAAGTTGGGGTGAGAAACTGACTGCTGGCGGATCACATGGGTCCTTGAGGAGACCGCGGTCCCATCTGGAGGCGGTCCAAACGCTCCGCCACCCCTAGTCGCCCCCCCCTTCCCCCCGCCCAGCACAGTGCGCCACGCCGCCGAAGAAGGAACAAGGACTAAAGACCCCCTGGTATCTCGACACGAAACGCTATAAATCGAGAATTGAGAGAAAACACCAAAGCGAAAAGAAAGGCGAAAAAAAAAAAAAAACAACCCGCAGGGAGCGCGAGAAATAAAAGAGGAGCGAGAGAGGGAGAAGGGTGAGGTGGGGTGTAGGGTGAAAACATGATGAACTGAGATGTTGCGGCGGTATATATAGCACGTTCATCTAAGGGATTGCTTGCTTGCCCGATGGGCAGGCGAGGCCTCGGCGAAATGAGCCTCGGCAAACCCTTCAAAGGGGGTATCGCATCCCCGTTTCTTTTCTGCTCCCCCTCCCGCGGCACCATTTTCTGATTTTCTGTCTTTTTTCTGGTTTTTCTTCTTGCTTTATCTCATCGCCCATCGCATTTGCCCTTGACATTTTGTGTAGGTAAGCTGCTCAGTATGGAGAGCCGAAGTACAGCGTCGGACAAAACCCATATAACCTTTCGGGGCTGTACGGTCGGATGCGAGGAGAAGAAAGAAACATGAAATGAGGAGAGGGGGTGAAGAGACGGAGAGAGGGAGATAGACAAACATGGAGAAAGGGGTGGAGAGGCAGAGGGAGAGAGCAAGAACAGGAATGTACCGCTGAGACTACTCATCGTGCCCCACGCGGCCCTATTGACGATAAATCAACAGGAACGGTACAAAATCACTATATGATTCTACCAAGAGCCCGCCGCCCGCCCGCCCCCACGTTTGGTCGGAAGCAGGAGCTCTACAGGGAGCGCGACTGGGAGCGCGGAGTAGCCTGGGGGCCAGGGCTGACAGTGACGTGCGTGCGCTCGGGTCACGCGCGTGCGAGACAAGGGCCCGTGATCCCTCGCCCGGATAGGCGAACACGCCGAGTGGAAAATGTGCGGTCAGCTCTCTCTCTCTCTCTCTCTCTCTCTCTCTCTCTCTC